GGAAAATCCGGCCCTGATCATAGGTTAATTTTTTGTTGAAAACCAGTCAATATCAATTTCTTGAACGCTTCCTTGATTTTCCTTCAATGTTGTGGACAATTCTATAAAAATTTCAAGCTAAAAAATTGGCTTGTTTCTCCGTGAAAAAATAAAATAGGAGCGGAACTTATGAAATACTACAATGGATATACGTGGTTTTGCATTTTGGTCATCGATCGTATTTCCGTTACCAAAGAAAAGGAAATAAATGAATTCTCCACCTTGTTGCATACATGGAGAATAATCTATGGCTTTATAAACCAATTATACCACCACTAATTACACCACTAATAGTCGTAAATGAATTAATGATAATCGGTCTGTGAACCATACTCGTAGGTATCTCGTGCCATACTAAGGTATATATCCTATCACCAAGGTATATATGCTATTATAATACGTGGCATTTACTACTATTAGTGGTTTTCTATATGAACCACTAATTGTTTTATAAGCCATAGCTTTTTCTCAGTGTACGGGTCACTTCTTAGTGTTATTTTTTTTTCTCGTAAATATCCAAATTAAGGTGAGTGTTAAAGAAAATGAGAAAAACGAGAAAATGAATGTAAAACTTTTAAATTTATAAATTATCCCAAGCAAACGTTTTGGGAGCCAACATCAAGCTCATCATTTTGATGCATAGTCCAGCCGTTTCGTTCGGAAACTTTGAAATCATTCGCAGTAACAAGGGGGTGTGCGACTGTGCGTCCGCAGAAGTCGTGGCGAGATATGGAAAGGAGTTGGGTTTCATTAATTCTCCTGGTACTCAGAGACTGCTTGTTAAGAAAACTATAAACCACAGAACACATTTTTATGGTAATTAGTTAATTTTCTTATCTGACAGAGTGGGCCACACCCTTGGGCACGCCTGCTTTCGCCCCGAGGGACCCGAAGGCTACGAGTCTCGTGGTGTCTGTCTTAAATGTATTAATATACGGCCCATGTCAATAGCAGCCAGTTCGCGTACCAAAAATGATTTTTACCGTTGAGAGGTGAGGGTTTACAGCTAACTACGGCAACTGTGCCTGTAACCTCTTTTCTCCTTGTTTTTAGCGTGTCTTCTTACGTTGATGAGTTTGTTTGTACAAAGTCAGCCCTTTTTTCCCATCAGGTATCTTTGTAAGCGTCATTTTTATGCATTTTTCTTTACAAGTCATGCACTAAACGAGGGAGGTTTATCTTTAAATGTTCTGCGATTGAAAAGCTATCGATTACTTCAAGTTGTAATGCCTCCGATGTGAATATTTTAACATGCTATTAGACTTAGGATGTGTTGATGAAGAGACGTGTTTGATATTTTGCGATACGCATTTTGTTTTTCATCTGCTGAAAGATTCACCGATAACAGAAAGCAGAATAATAGAAAAAACCTCAAAGAATGAAGATGAAAGAGATGAGGTCAAAAAAAAAAGATACATAATTAATGTTTCAAACAGTTAAAAAAAAAAAAATTAAAAAAAGTATTTTTAATTTTTCTGTTTATTGTCTATTGAAAATATTTCGGTCTTTTCTCCTTAATTTTTACCCAAAATGATAGATACAGCTGTTGAGACTTGAAGGTAGNCGTGGTGTCTGTCTTAAATGTATTAATATACAGCCCATGTCAATAGCAGCCAGTTCGCGTAGCAAAAATGATTTTTACCGTTGAGAGGTGAGGGTTTACGGCTAACTACGGCAACTGTGCCTGTAACCTCTTTTCTCCTTGTTTTTAGCGTGTCTTCTTACGTTGATGAGTTTGTTTGAACAAAGTCAGCCCTTTTTTCCCATCAGGTATCTTTGTAAGCGTCATTTTTATGCATTTTTCTTTACAAGTCATGCGCTAAAGGAGGGACGTTTATCTTTAAATGTTCTGCGATTGAAAAACAATCGATCACTTCAAGTTGTAATGCTTCTGGTGTGAATATTTTAACATGCTATTAGACTTAGGATGTGTTAATGAAGAGACGTGTTTGATATTTTGCACTACGCATTTTGTTTTTCATCTGCTGAAAGATTCACCGATAACAGAAAGCAGAATAATAGAAAAAACCTCAAAGAATGAAGATGAAAGAGATGAGGTCAAAAAAAAAAAAAGATACATAATTAATGTTTCAAACAGTTAAAAGAAAAAAAAATTAAAAAAAGTATTTTTAATTTTTCTGTTTATTGTCTATTGAAAATATTTCGGTCTTTTCTCCTTAATTTTTACCCAAAATGATAGATACAGCTGTTGAGACTTGAAGGTAGTTAATATTGCCTATATATCGAATAGAAGGAGAATCGTGTTTTTAGATTTAAAAAAAAAAGGAAAACTCAGTTTTTAATGAGACTAGCTGCTTCACCGTGCTTCGCTCACATCCGCACTTAGCCGCTTCGAGAATGCGCGAAAAACTTTCAAGAGCGGATATTGAAACTTTCGGATTTTTGGTATCATCTCGACACCAACAGCTTCTTTTCTTTGCAGCAAAAATCACGTAAATCGGCCCAGCGGTTCCTCCGAATTAAGGATCATAAGGTTTTGACCCTTACAGTTTTATTTCTGTAGATTAAAAAGTGAAAATTACTTACATATAAATTGATACCTCGGTTCACGGAGAAAATTAGAAAAATTTGTTGATACTTCGGCAACTCTGGTCGTTTCAGATGATAAGGCAAATATCATATCCTTACCACAGATTAGTGATCCTTACAAAGAAGATGAAAGTAGCTGAGAGGAATTGAGAGTTTACTTTTTTCTCGTTAGACAACACTGTCAATGGATCAGCTGTCTCAAGACTGAGTCCTATCCTTTTTACCTCTCATACGTGCCCCTAGTTCAGTTGAACGTATATCTTGCTGTGCACATCTAGTGAGTATTTATTCTTGTTTTACGGGAAAAAAATGGTGACTCCGATGTGATAAATGCGACTAAAAATCGAGAAATGGTAAGAAACAAAAGAAACATGAAATAATTTTGATAGCCCTCTACATTTGTGTAGTCGTAAGTCAATTTGTAAGTGTATGATACATGTAACATCCTCCTCAGAATAAGAGATGCGAACATTACTACTTTAAAGGGTTTGTCTTGTGGGCGTTGACAACAATAGAATGTTTTATTTTCAGCTTTTAAAGCCTGTTGGATCAGTCGAAATTCTGCAGTAGTTTCAAGTTGCAGTTTCATGGATTCTTTTCCCAATTTCAGGGAAAATGTTGGTTTTGCCCCTTCGGCCAATAATCATTTTGGACCGCGTTAAGCAGTAAGGAACCTAGCCACATCCGCTGTTGCCAAATTTCACTGAGCAATTTAATTTTTTACAAGGAAACGATTGTGTGGATTCCGTTGAACATTTTATGGAATTTGCTTTGCACCATGAAGAAAATTCTCCGAAATTAGCCTAAAAATTCGCACAACCGTTTTCACATAAAAAATTAAATTTGGCAATAGCTGATTTGGCTTGGTTCCTCTCTGCTTAAAGCAGTCCATTTCTTTAAGGCATCAATGTTTTCAGGCGTTGTGAGAAAAATTGGTCTAGGACGCAATTCCTCAGAGTAGCATAGCTATTAAGAATTTTTAACTGATTTTTGTCTGTACTTTAGAGTTCTTTTTTAGCGTTTTGCACTGTGAGGTCTATTTCGGCTGTAGCTTTTCTTTTCTTCGTTGGAATTCGTTTCCAATAGGACACACTAACGGGTTTCGTCAACTTGCATCACGATCACAATTGCCGTAGGCAGTTAAGCTGCATATCAATAAAAACCAATCCGGAATGAGTATCTTATACATCCATCTCGCAATGGTTGACGCTTTAAGATGATTTTTATTAACTTATTTTTTAGTTTAAACATTTCAAAGGATTTGAAATTTTTGAACAGCCGTTTACTGTTGGTAGCACTGTCACCCACTTTCAGCTGAGAGAGTTTTACCATTGATGTCAATTTTGTCTCTTTTTAATTTCAGTTCATACATGGTCAAGAAGTTTGATTTTTACAAATGCGAACTCAAATTATCATAGCTCAAGTTGCTGTAACTATTCCGTTATGGCTCGGAAGAAGGGTCAGCAGTCAAGGAGATATTCCCGCCAAAATAAATTACATATCAGCTGAGAGGGACTGGGTCACGGTTGTGGGGTTTCCACGGAAGGTTCATAAAGTATTTGAGTTTTGTTGCTGATATCAGTTTTGAGGTAAGAAAAACGTGATCTATCTTCAACTTACCTTTCATATAGCATTTTGTTAAACTGTTAAAATAAAAAATAAAAAAAATCCCAATCCATTTCACCAAAGGGAGTAAATTCTGTTGTCCATCATAATATTGAACAAGCAATCTCATCAGATTCCTCCAATTTTGCACCGGTGTTGAGACTTGGTAACTCTTTATCAACAGATCTTCCAAGACAGTCGTCTACGTCACGAGAAGATAATATACTGGACGAATGTCTTTCTCTTTTTAACTGAAATAACTTTATTGATAGTTTTTCATACGATTTTGGCCGGTTTTACTTTAGTTGAACTAGCTGGAAACCCGTGCCGTATGCACAGGAAAACCCCCGCACGATCAGCAATCACGGTGCTTGGTTATCATGATCAGTTAGAAATTTTGTTTCTGTAAATTTTTTTACTTTTTCAAAATTAGCGAGTCGCACTAGTTTGATTAAAATGCAGAGATCAGTGGTATGCTGATCAGTGGTGCTATACCTGGATCTGCTCTGCGGCAAGCTCATATGATAATTCTAATAATCAAAAATACCCAACTAAAGCAAGAGTTGGTTGGTAGGAGGCCTTTTCGCCCAAACTTTTTTCCCCAATAGCCAAAATGTACAGAGTCATTTGTCCCTACTTCTTTTCACCCTAAAAACCACCAAAAATTCATCCAAAGAAAATTCACCCAACAATTTCACCCAATAAGTTAAAAAGAAAATTAGAAAATCCAATTTTTACCTCTCTGTTATTAGGATTATTGTATTCCACTTACGCAAAATGATGAATTAAATAACAACATTAAAACGCACTTTGAAATAATGAATTTTTATTTATGGTTTTCTCATTATGATCATTACTTGTCGACAGCACATAAACGAATGACCAATGAAAAATATATCTAACCTAGAAGTATAAGTATTAGCTGTTTTTACTTTGCATTCTCCCCCCTTGAGCTTTGCTCAAAAGGGTTGTCATTAACATCGAAATATTGTAATTAGAACACCACATTTTTTTTTTAAATTACTTTTAATTTTCATTAACTGTGTTTTATCTTAATCTTTGGCCGTGAGAATTGGACATATTTTTGAAACGGGGCGCACAATGTTGTCCAAGCGTTTGCACATGCCTCCAAACACTTTGGGCTAAATGGAAAAAGCAGAGCGCAATACGGGACGCTAGAAAAACTTGCTTGGAAACGCTTATTATGCCCATTTCAAAGTCACAGAGCATGGAATGCGGACGTGGAGCTTGAATTCCTTGCTCCACACATTTTGACGAGATTTTGCAAGAACTGCTAGATAGGATTGGGCAGTTTTGTTCGGCAACAAGGCGTACACGAGGGGGAGCACCACATTGTGCACAATTCCATGGATTGTGAAAATTTGAGTAAAAATTTCCGGACAAGTTTTGAAGGTCCCATCCAAAAAGAGAATACCAAATCGGCTGAGAATGGAAAGACTTTGTTTGGTTCTAATAAGTTAGGTGAAATATGTTTTCATATTATTTATTTTGAGCACATTTCTTATGCTATGGACATAGTTTAAAGAAAGTTCAAAGATTACAATGACTTTCATTAAATTAAATTTGGAACTTATAGCTTCTATATAGCCCTTATATTATTAATTGTACAATAATTGAGATATATGATGTGGAAATACATTCCAGATGCTTTGTATGCATGCTTATATTTTTTCAGCGTTAAATTGAAAAACTTGACTTTCTTTAGCGCGAAGTCAGCGTCAGGAACCTTGTCTCCCCATGCATTTATATGGATCTGAAACAGGCATGGAAACAAGTTGAATAGATTGATTTAATGATTATCGTTGACATACGGCGAGACAGATATTAAGCTGACTATTGTCATGCTTTTTATTTTTTATCACGTCCAAGAATCTTTGAAAGAAGAATAATTCATAAAAGTTCATAAGTACTTATAGTAGTACGAAAAAGGATCTCGGGGCTAAACCCGGCGTAAATCCATCCAGCGGTTTGGGAGCCTATTCGTTTCGGGTCCTGTGGAGGGAAGGGGTGGGAAATTTCTAATAATTAAACAGTTATGCTAGATCTAATACTGATTTGGAGGAAAAACTGAGAAATTTTAGTGGAAACAATTAAAGTTTAATCTAATAATGAAAAATAAAGAGGGTTAAATCCCAAAGAGCCTGCACCTTAACACTCACGACTGAAAATGATTTCCTCGAAAATCCCTCATAGATATATTAGCAAGCATAGTAAGCAAATTAATTATCTCAAGAACCAAAAGAATTGTGCAATTAATATCTAAAGAATAACTAAATGAAATAAACTACTCGCGGTAATTTTGGAATGCATGTTACTACTGAGGCAAACTCACTTCATACTACCACTCTGGTCCGACACTGTGAAATAAAAGGAAGCGGCTTTCTTACGATTATGAATCGGTGTTAGTCTCTTCACAACTCCAGTAACCCCCCGTCCCCGTGGGACACAGGGGGGCCGCGGGACGGGGCCGAGAAGTTCAAGGTCACGGCGGACCACGTATAATTTTATTTATTAGATTAGATTAGATAGATATTAGATTTTTTCTATACACCTTTGGCATCCAACTGTGTGATACTGTTAGAGGATGTACTGCTTGTAGCATTTAAGAGCTTTATTATGTTTTTCTGAATGAAATGTCCCTTATTTTGGAATCTTTCTTTCAAAGTTAAAATTGCAACATCATAATTTTCTTCAGGAGAAGTCAACCCTGATATTAGGGACTGTGCTTTCCCACTTGACACTGATTTGAGGCGGTGATATTTCAATATTTTTACGACGATGGCAATATGAAAACAGGACCAGAACATGCCGTCGCCGATGGTCCCGACCTTAATAAACAGTACATTGGACATGATCCCTTTTACAGGACCAAAATTGTGCCGTGGTAGTCTTTAAACAGGTAACGCACCTTGCAAATTCGAGGAATAAACCTGTTGCCCTCTGTCCTTCAGAACGATAGCAGTTCAGTTCAACGGGACAAACTCTGTAGAAAAATTGTTCTGGCTTTCAATTTCTTGGTAAGAAAATTTACTGTTGTGTATCTCACACGATCAAAAGATCTTTCTTTTTCATTTTTCTAACGGAGTTAAGTTTTTTCTCACTGGATTAAACGAAAATTGTATTGACATTTTTTTTTCCATTTTTTATAAAAATTGTCAGAAAATTTTCAAAAATGTGTAAAACGTCAACGAGTTACGTGCAAATCTACTTACGGTGCTACCAATTAGGATAATAATCCAACATAATGAGCTATATATTTACAATATTATACTATGTATTTTTACAAGGTTATGTCACGCAGAAAACAGTGATAAGAGAGCCTCGCTCGTTACTGTAGATTTCTCAACATACGGTATTCACTCGGAGCGCACTTTCGAAGTGGTTTTTTTTTTTTTTTTTTTTTTTTTTTTTTTTTTTACAAATACGTGACGTAACACAGTGTGCTGTACTACTACCACTGGAAATTCACTCTTAAAGCGCTATTGTGCGCTCTGTGACACCCAACCGCCACTTGACAGTTTTACGTTTTCTGCCAGGGGAGACCCGCAATCCAGAACCTTCTTAGGCACCCTATCATCTGCCATCCGTCGCACATGCCCATAGCAGACAAGCTGTTTCGTGGAAATATCTTGCACTATGTATGCAGTGTGCTGTAATGTTCCGAAATTCTAAAGAAATTTCCTAAAATCCAGAAATTATCAACCACTCTTGAATCGTTCTCGAAAGTGCTGAAGCATCCCTTAGGTTAATTTTTTTTTTCCAGAGGAATCGAGCTACCCCTGACCAATCCGACTCCTTAGGGCGGACGGGGTGGAGGCTTTCTACGACCAACTTAGCTGCGAACCCTGCATGGGGAGCCTCAGAATGTGATGCAGGGGTTGCTGTGGGGCGGGCTGGGCACCGGTCAGAAGACTTGTCGTCGAGAATATTTACGAGCGCGCTTCTCATTAACGGGATGAGCATTTACCCGTGTCTTCCCAAAGACTTCCTTACCGACCAGCTGGGCCCAAGATGACCGCCAAATTTATTTGCATACGGGAACATCCTCCCAATGAAGATTTATACTTGATAAAGAAATATACCGTCCAGCGTTGTCTAGGAGCCTACTATTTTCGGTCATTTTGGCGTTGAGAGCTATAGTGGATCACGGACAGCGTGGTCAAATATCAATACCTCAATGTACGTTACTCAGGGCGTCTACAAGTCCGGAATTTTTGGAAAGTCCGGAAATATTACTGATTTTTTAAGGGTGGTCCGGAAGCACTGATAAAAGGCGGAAATTCCGCAAAAAGGTCCGGAATTTTTTTTTAATTAATGGAGGTACTGAAAAAGTACGAAATTTTCTGTTGGAAGAGGTACTGGAATTCTTGAGAATGTACTGAAAAAGCACTGTAAAAGTACTTGTTTTTGACCAGTCTGTTTTAGGAGACGCCCTCGATACTTCATCAAAATTTCACCCAGATTGTCCTGGATACGGCGAATTCCCAAAATTAGACTCATTTACGATCGCTCTCTATCCTCGTCGATTCAACTTTTCCCTTACAATGTTTTAAATTCAACCAGCCGTAAAGTTTCTCCTGTCGAAAAGACAAAGTCGAGTAAAAATGCATTTAAAGTACATAAACAAGTGTCTATAATTTTTTCTAAAGTTTGTAGTTAGCATTAAGTCTTAGGTACGGAGGATTAAAGCTTCAAACTTATTACTTTTCACGGTTCAATTGGGATGCAACTCTGTGGGTTCCTGTTACATTTGAACCATTTGCCGTGAATTTTAACAAACTAATTTACCGAATTTATTCCAAAAAACCCTTAAAATTGAACTATTGATATGAGAGCGTATAGGGAAGTGGTCTAGGAGCACCTGAAGATAAAAAGAAAACGCTGAAAAATGTCGCACCAAACCGGAGTCATGTTGCTTCGAAGTTTCCGGTTCAAAAAGAATAATTTCTAAAAAATACGATTCATACCCTTAATCTGCTACGTTAAGGCACAAAATTGCCGTATCACAACGTTACTTCTCGCCCTTTTTTGCCACAGAAATGAACTAAACCATTTGCCACTCATTCTATAGGACACCAAAGAGAGCTTATTGTCAAAATCTGACGAGGAAATATAAAAATGGAATTTTTCAAACTGGCAACTCTGTCTTATCATTTGTGCTCCTTCCAGTATTATGATTACACAGAGAAACCCTTGATAACTTCAACCTCAGCATGTTTGAAATAGCCGAGTCTTCTGGGGTTGTTTCTTTGGTCATGTTTGATTTAGTATCCTGCTGTGAGAATGACTCTTCAACCACGGAGTAAATTGATTTTTCGGGCAATGGATGTGCGACACTGACCTGCTTTAATTTCACATCATAACCTAATAAAACTAACTCGAGTAATTGTAACTTCGAAGAATCTTTGCGTTTTTAATTTTTTTTTTTTTTTAAAGGAGTCCCGTTATTAATGATACAACCTATCCTGTTTTAATTTCACATCACAACCTAATAAAGCTACCTCGAGTAACTTCGAAGTATCAAATTTGCGTTTTTAAATTTTTTTAAAAGAAGGTCCGTTCTTTATGATAAAACCTATCTACGAAAATTGAAAGTGATCTGTGCAAAGACAGCACACTCGATAGTGAAAATGCGCCTTCATTAAATGCGATATGCACAAATAACTTAGGAGTTGAAATGATTGCATCAGGTGACTCGTAAGCAAACGAGGAGATGCAAACTCCTGAACTGAAAATCATGAATGGAAGAGACATTGTTTGAAGAATTGATTTAGGAAGACGCAACAAATGACCTCCTTCGGTTTCAATTTTGCAATCCTGTGTCGAAAATTGTAAATTTTTGGAGGAACTTATACATATATTAATTACAGTTTAGTGTCTTTATTCTAGGAGTTTGTTTTTGAAAATCAGCCGTCCAGGAATTTAAATGATCAGCCCAGGAAATAACCAGTTTCCAGAGAGGAGTGCGGTGCGCGGAAATGGACTTCAGGAGAAGGAAGAGTCTTCTCCGACCCCCTCAAAAATGGTTTACGTGGAAAACGTATCCACCTTATCGAAAAATAAGAGATTTTTACAAATTTTGCTGGATCCAAAAAACGGATATTTTACTTGTTGACTTAATTTTTCCATAATTAACCGATATTTCACTTTTTGACACTAACTCAGGCACTTATTTCAATTTGCAGTGCGGCCCTCAACCTGATACTTACAATTTATTTAATTTCTGATACAGGTTTTATTAAAAATATAAAAGTTTTCAATGATATTTGGTCATCGGTTGTCAAATTTCCTCAATAATAATTGCATCTCTCCAATAATGCCATATTTTTTATTTAATTTTTATTTTCTTTTATTTCTCTCAATATTGATATTTATTTAACGAAAAAAAAAAGAATGAGATTTAAAGTATAACAGGTCACGGCTCCTCAAAATTGGCGATTGGAAAAATTTGATCTGTTGCTCTCCTTGTGTTGTCTGCCGCTTGCCACTGCCGCTCTGGCAAGAACATACGACCGTTGCACTTTGCCATCGACATTTCATCTCCTCAGGAGTCTGCGAGCCATGAGATGTCCCGACAGATCGACAGCCAAGAGGCCTGTGGGAAAATTAAATAAAGGCCGGAAAGAGCTGAAGGGCACACTGGCCGCGAACAACAGTCCGGCAGCCGCTGCCACATAACCGCCCAAAATCGCCATTCCCCCCTCAAAAACCTCGCTAATTCCTCAAAGCGGCAACGCAGCGGCGAGGGCTCGCCCGATAAAAGAACTCGTTCAAGAACTCGGCGAGGAGGGTCGCAACCACCCCGGAAAGTTCGTACTTGAGTCCACCCCGCGAAAGGGACCATGTCCATCCCTGAATGAGCCCCGAGACGCATATTAATACACGAACTTGGGGGCTCGACTGGGGATGGGGTTTAAACGACGATAGATTCACTTTGGTCGGACGTTCTTAGTTGCTCCTTTGTTGCTCCTTGGGCGCGTCGTCGATCCCCGTTTTTACGAGGCGAGGACCCTTAACGGGACATTATCCCAGCGGGCTCGCGCACCAGGGTCCGGCCAGACAGGGAAACGCGATCACCGTCCCTGGCTCTGACCCACAGATATATTGACCAATTTCGGCCCCAGTGTGTCGATCTCGCCGCTTCCCTCTTAAAAGGCCTTGCGTTGCCGCGTCAGGTGCGCTCCGGCTCCTTCTACTTTCTAAGCTTATTCACGCTGCTCTGCATCTTTCAAGTGGAGCTTTTAAGTGCCCTCGGGACGTATAGAGGGATGTCATCGATACCTTCGATCATGTCTCTGATAGGCCAACGCTTAGGACAAGTACTTAAGACGATGCTTCAGTAATGGCTTACCCCTCTGCGTTTTTAACATTTTCGTTTTACTAAATCACATAGAGTTTCA